AGAAAATAGGGGGGGGGGGGGGGGGGGGGGGGGCAAATGTCACCTAAAGAAGAAAGCTGCAACAAAAAATAAAAAGGAAAATCGGGACACGGTATGAATTTATAACGTAAAAGAAATATGAATAAAAAAATATCATAACTTCTAATTTCTAGTAAAGAACCATGTAAAAAATTAAAGTATAACATAAAATAGTATCTTTCAAACTCCATTTTTATCTCTTGTTCTTGACATCTAGTTGTTTTAAAAGTCCTGGACAACTATAGCTGTAACTGGAGAATTACATATTCCTTCGCTCCCTGCTTTTATTTTCTCTGTTATGACAGGGTAGAATCGATCGTCGGAATTATCGGCAGAAAGTTGTAGACTCCCTCCTTTCGGAAACTAGCGGAACCATAAAGTAACATATTATACTTCAGTGACTAGTTTGAAGTAAGGATCTACGTAAAGATCGAACTGTGAAACAGTTCAACCCAATGAAACACTTTAAACGAAGGAAGCAACTTTGAAGGAAGTCGAACTTTGACCAAAACCAGGACAGTGATTTTCATCAGTTCAACATATTCGTTTGAATTTTTACAAGTTATAATGTTTTATAATGTTTGTTAAATGCATGGTGAATGTTTTAGAGCTTGAATTTTTCGAAAGAATGAACTCGAATTTAAACTTTAAATTCATAAAGACCCAGTTTCATTGTTTTATTTGAATGAAAATTTGTTTGTTTCATAAAAGAATTTTACTCTATTCATTATTTTTCGTCTGTAATCTTCGTATAATTCACAATTTTCTTCAATTAAGACTTCATTTCAGAAAGAACTTTCTTTTGCTTTGCTTTTATAATCATTTGATTCATAAAAAACTAGTTATTATGATATCGTGAATTTAATGCACCAAAGAATTAGAATGGAACTTCCTGTTTCAGTATATCTTGGAGTTCTCTATAAGAAATAAATGCATAGCGCTCCACAGCCTCCACATAACATAGAACCATTGTAAGGAATTGTCCTATTTGGTGGTGCGCCATCACGTAAATCCAAAATCAGGGGAACACGTCGGCTTTAGAACGACTAAGCGCCTTCTATGTTCCTAACAAAACGTCGTTCTATCCTTGTATTGTCAGGCTCAGCGATCTTGCACTCTTAGCACACTCTTCTCTTTGAGAGTTGCTGGTTCCGGATGTGCGACCTAGATCGCTTGAAAGCATATATTAACGCAGACACATTGCACGGGACAAACTTAATAATGGGGACAGGGGGCTGCGAGTGAACTGTTTGACTGCTGAGCTTCGCGCTCACCACACTAATTTAATGCACTGCTGTCGCATCAATAACGACAAAGTTGCAATTGAAAAAAGACGTTTTAACAGTATTCTTAATAGGTTTAATAAAACCTCACAGTACGCCAATACTTATAAATAGAAAGCACTATTGAATGTATCACCCTACAACTCTGTCATAAGTTCAAAGAATATAACTTTTAGGTCGGGGTGCAAAAATAACTGCAGTTTTTATATTTCGTGTCATAAGTATTTCTATACTGCTTCAAAAGCAGTGCTCCACATTAATTAATTAATAAACTCCGTTTCTTTGAAGTCAGAAAAAATTGTGTTATTTTTTTCGACAATATTTAATCATTCAAGTAAATAAAGGTACACACAATAAACATCAATTTTTTTTTCTTCCAAGATACTATTATAAACGAAAAGCTTCTAATCGTTGTAACTGTGAACTAACATGGTAAATTAAGTGGTACAATAATTAGTTTTTAACTCATTAATTCTGTCACTTTGTACAATGCTATTACATTATTCAAAAGACAGCATAGATATAATTTTTCTTTTAATAATCGCGATAAATAAAACTCAGTGTAACGAGATTTTTTTAATGTTTCCGATGTCTTCATTGTTTCGTATTTCACGTACCATGCATAAAATCCGCAGTCTATTTATGATAGTGTTGAACGATCATACCTGGGTGGTTTCGCAGGTGGCTCCGATTTGCTGCTCTCCACATCGGAGAGTGTGGCCTTTTTCAATGAAGTAATTATGCGCGGTGGTTTCGGTGGTCCTTGAACACCTCTGACTCTCATGGAAGACACTGGATTTGGTTGCTGTTCTATTTGCTCTTCTTTTCTTCTAGGGGCCAAATACCTGTGGTCGACCGTCACGAAATTTTGCTCCGGGAGACGCTTGAAATCCACTTCCTGTTGATCCCTGTTGGGCAGCTGAGGATTCGAACATTGCCTCTGCAACGCGAGATTTGTCCGTCCCGTTGATTTTCCGTAAACCTCTTCCCGCACGCGTTCTGCTGTTGACGTCGTAATGTCTGGATGAGAATAACCAGCAGCTGACGGTCGTCTGTAACAGATTGTCTTCCTGACAACGATGTTCTTACTCGTCCCCTTAAAAAAGTATTATTTTTGCATTTTCTTATAGTTTTTTTTTACAGCACAAAAGTGTATCTGTGAAGTATTTATGTATCGTAATTCTACGTGTTTAGCATATGGTTATGTACGGTCGATATTTTCTACTTTTTTGGAATTAAAATATTTCAGAAAATTATTTCTACAAGAATGAATCGCTATCACTGAAAGTATTGACGTTTTATTAATATTTAAGTTGAGATTAAAATTTGGTTTTGTTTCAATTTTATTCAAGGTTTATATTATCGTCAGAGATCCTATCAATTGTTACTACGGACGCTTAAAAAAATGCTGGATTTACTTCGTGCATACAAAAATACACATGCAAAATATGCATACTTATGTGATGGTTCTAGTTTGGTTGTGAATATTCATTGAAATCTGTAATCTACTTATCGTTTTATAGGGTTTCTTTTTAATCTAAACGAGTAGAACTAGTTTGGCCGAAAGAAAACTGGATTTCAAGCAGAAAAGAGAGAGAGATAGAAGACAATTATTCTTTGCAAAAAGGAAACATTTTTAAAAGGTAATCAGTGCTAAAATGCTGAATATATTGTCCGTAGCTCTGTTCTTCAAATCAAGTAAGGATGAATCAACAAACTTTAAGACTAAAGAAGATTATTGGAGCTGTCAATAAAAACAAATACATTAATTCATGGTATTGAAATCACATCTAAAATTTATTATTCCAAACTTAACATGAAAAACTACTCTGATGAAGGAACAGAAACTTCAGGCTATAAAATGTACATAAACCATCGAGCACAACGATCCGAAACAATTATTTCTCAGCATTCCCACTCCGGCCACCTTTATCCTACTTTGCATTCTATAGTGTTACCCTTTCCTCTCGCGTAAACACTTCTATATCTCTTCTATAACAGGCAAACTAGGGTATCCTCCGAATGAAGTGTTCCGCAAACACTTTCTACCGCGAGAAGCACAATAGCAATGGCCATTCAGAGAAAGAAACGGGGAAGAGTGACACGCTACCTTCCTATCGTCGTGCTTGCGTAAACGTCCCCGTTATGACTGACAGGTGGCTTCATGGAGAGTCCGTTTACCCGGACGTCTTGGGAGCTAAGGAACGGCTTAACAGGCTGCGCATAAATAGGGTCACTATAAACGTTCCCTCCGGTATTATTTTCGCCGACAACGGTCGTTGGCAGGTTGCCGCTGCTCCTCGTGTGCTGCAGCCTCGTGTAGATCGGCTGAGAATACGTCCTGGAATGATGATGCCTGCGCTGATGATGTACGCCGGACGCATATGGATGCGAGCTCGCCTGAACGTTCAACTGTGATTGAAACTGTGCCCGATGATCTTTCGAGTTCGAGTCCCGACGATGATTTTGCTGCGACATTTGACCGCAAAGACTCGTCAAGTTCGGGTGCGAATGAGAATTTTGCGATTGCAGCTTGAATAGAGCACCCTTTGCTGGGTGATGATGAGGAAAGTGATGAACCTTAGGCACGTGAGACTGCTGTTGCTGCTGTTGAACGTCTTGATGTTGTTGGTGCATTTGAAATTGGCTCGGGACTCGCTGTATCCGATCTGGCTGACTCTGACGCGGGGGAGGATTGAACTGATTAGGTGGATGATACAGTCGATCCTGGTGCTGATGATGATGTCTAGCTGCCGATTGGCTGTGCACTAATTGGAGAGGATCGAGATGGTGTGGCGGTGGTTGCTGCTGATGAGGATAGTTATTGTGATGACGGTTCGGGTCCTGTCTTTCTGCCTGGTTTCGCACACCCGCTGCCGGGTTCAAGTGTTGATAAGCTACACGCTGTCGCGCTGCGTACTGTGGCGACTTCACCACTTCTCGATACATATCCATTACTATGTGGGTGAAGGGCTTCGACTGCAACCGCGTGCGACAGTATTCGGAAATCACCTGGAACAGTTAAGATGATCGTTAGGGTTGCTTAAGAAATTTTCTGATGGCAAAGGATGAATTGAAATATGGTAAGATTATTCGGAAATTCCTTACACTTTAAGCTTCGAAAAAATAAAGTGCGTGGATCATAGTTACATGGGGCACATCAAGACTAGAGTTCTAGGGCTCTAAATGTTTGATTTCTTTAAATGGGATTATACATATTGTTATCATTGACACGATAAAAAGATCAATGTAAATCCAATGACAGATAATAGTATGATCTATAAATCACCTTGAGTATAAGATAATGGACGAAATTAATGGACAGAAAAATGGTTTCACTAGAACAAATATTTAAATTGTGATTTAATGAATAATAAAAAATAATAAATATTCAGTGAATTCACGACGTTCTGAAACATAAAGGGTTAGAAAATCAACGACAGAAATGTGTTGATGTTAATGTAAATATTCTGTAAAATAACATTGTGTACCATTTTTATTACTCAGTGTAAATTCCGCACTAGTTCGAGACCAAAAACAAAACGAATTAAAAAAGAAAGTTTAATTGGAAGGGTTTCAATCGAATAATAGGAGACGTACATTTCAAAGCGAACGTTATGGATTACAAATATTTATGGACAGCAGTATGTACACAAAATTAACGTTCAAAATACCGAAATATATATAATTGCATGTAAAGAATGCGTTTGCATTACAAGTGAAAGTATCCGTTGGAAAATGTAATTCGGTTTCGAAATTACTGTCATCTTGCCGCCTGGACAAACTATTAGTGTAAAGAATACAATAGTGTCGGCATGGGTTCCGGATGCGAACTTGGCGAGTTACGATATCAACCGAGAAACGGACCGCAAGCCCAACCCTATTATCGTTTCATTGTACTACTGTTCCGTGATAACAAAAGCAGACTCTTGAATACGCGGTTGTCTTTGAAAGACGATTCCGTAGAACATAGGCTTCCAAGAGATCCTTTTGTTTCTGTTATACCGTTAATTATCATTTATCTATAAATCTCTCCACGAGAGAGAACTCTATTGAATTGTTCGATTCGATGTTAATAGAGATGATTAGGCTACGGATCTTCAACTGAAGTATTGTTGAATTAACAGTTGTATATGCTGCAACAAACAGAAGCCGCTTCAGAATCTCTTTTTTTTTAATACTTTTAGTAGGTCAAAAGTAATATATGGATATTCCATTCTACTCGTTTTCGTAATAAATGCATAAAATCCGCAATCTTGTGATAATAATATACTGCGGATTTTAAGATATTAATTTTATATTAATTAGAATTTTAATGAAACTTTTGATAAGTGATATGAAAGCCTCTTTGATTTTTATTGTTCTCCTATTGTAAATTTTTAGATCACACGCGACGAAGCTAGGAAAATTATATCAGTTTCATGGTACCGCAGGAGATCATTAATGTTGGAAACATAGAGCTTGGAAAATATTTAAGAAGCTGTTTAACTTCCTACCATGAAGCATGGTTGTAAGAGGTAACCTTGTAGTACTCGTAATTAAGTTATAATTAAGCAAACTAGAACTCCGTGCCGTACAGAAATTACTTTAATCACTTCCTCTTACGAGACATATTGTTCGACGTACGAAGTCAAAAGTGATGACAAACTCTTTTTCCTAGAACGTTTTTGGCATAATATCAAGTAAAATCAAGGATCAGATCTTTAGACTGAAATAAAAACTCGAATGAATTAATACATATGCTTATTGTGCAACGTAAAGTCTACATCTTGATATCGGATATTAATTACAAATATATTCATTATCGAAATTTTGTATTGATAAATTACATTTTAATTAAAAAACACAATATCATACAAGGGACGCATCATTTGACTAAATCTTCCATTAAATTATCACGTAACCGCGATTCAATTACATTAATGGCGGATGTAGTCTTTTAGCTGGATTATTAGAATTTCCCTTGCCGTCGTTTCGTTTTGGATGCATGACAAATCCGAGTTGGAGATTTCAATTGTATTTGTAAAAATTACACAATATTGCCATATGAAATTTGAGTAACAAATTTTTGTACAATTTAAAAAATATCACAAAATGTGTATTTGCAATTTTCAAATATCGATGCTTCATAAAAAAGTATTTAATATTCAGCGTAGCTGGGCAGTCGATCAAAAATTGATTGCTTTAATGTAACTCATCGGTTTATGCAAGTGACTGAATTGAATTTATTCGTCTCAATTATTATGCATAATAAGCTGAACAAGAATTGTCAGTACACATTTACTCACCAAATAAATTGCATTTAAGAAGAGTGGACATCTTTTCCAGTAGATAGACAATAAAGCCCACATTATGTTGCATTTTCACAGAATCTATTACAGACATCAACTTTAAATCTTCAATGTATCTAGTACTGTACTACTATATATATTGTGCATCTTAGACGAAGGATATTAAATAGAAAAAAATTATAGAACCCTATCAATATGTAAATTTTTTTGTACTTTTGCTTTCAAACTAGATAATACTAGTAATACGGCATTAGGCCGAGTTTCAAAAAAAGTCTTTGGCGAAGCTATATATTACCCTTCGTAAAATTTCACATTCAGCAGTCGAGTGGATACTGAGAAAAGGAACCGTTAGTGCCAAAAGAGAAAATTTTCTAAAATCTAGCTCTTCGTATGTACCTACGTTACACTCACTTTGTGAGCATTTCTCGCCCACTTATAATTCTTACAGCATTATTTCAATTATGGGTTCTAACTCTGAATATTGTCTATTAACAAATAAAAATACGAAAAAACTCTCGTTAATAAAACGTTTCAACTACGAAGATTAGTATCGAATAGATCCTACCCACTATTTCACGTTCCACATAGAAATTTGATGAATGCGATTCAGAGCCTAAAATGTAAACTTTAATCCTTATCAGCGGTGGAATTTCACAAGCCCGCAAAGATCTCACCGGTGATATTACACCGGTAGCATCGTGCAGATAAGGAAAACGGTGATCGCCACACAATGACAAACGTAAAATCAATACGTTAATTTATCGCGAACGTTTGCGAAAGCATCCGCGGTTCAAGGCTTCGCAGAATGGACTAGGTATCGCCTTATCTTAGGGCGAGTTCCGTCTTTAGGTTTCATCTGCATACCAGCGATCGGCGAAGTGGCGATCTCGGGCCGTATAATTTATCGCCAGTCGAGGAATCCTCGCAGAAATTGGTGGCGGCGGAATAAGTTCGCGTGTCGAGAACGCCCCCACCTCGGGATTTCATCAATTTCGCGGCCCATTCAGGTGCAACCGATGAATTACGACCGCTCGCCGAAATAGCATTATTAAAGCGGACGGTTTCTAGGAAACGTATAATTTCACTGTTGCTTGTTCGAAAGTGGCGGGGTCGCTCTGCCAAATTTGAACAACAAATTTGTATTTCTCTGGTCAACGAGTGAAAGATTTACCAAAATTTTCAAACGCGTTTTCGCCTGGATTTATTAGATTACTGTTTTATTACATTAACGCCGTGAATATCTTGGAATTTTCCTTAAGTAGGTGTATAGTATTATACTTGACATTCCACAATGCTAATATCAGTAGCCCAATTTTATTCTTGCATATGTTCCAATTATTGTTAATGAACGTTAAACAAAAAAAAAAGGTAAAATTCATTTCCTAATGTATTAGCTTCAAACTTTGTTACCAAATTATCTAAACAAATAATTAATGTGCCTAACAAGATACCCAAGATAGCTAGAATGAATAAGGTGGTACCTACAGCAGCTTCCGAAAGTATTCAAACACCCTTCGAAACGAAATACCTTTCTTTTTAAATTGGACCAAATGTCTTGAATTTTTTTAAATAGTAGGGGGATCAGTTTACTAGACAATGTCTAAAAACTGTGTTTCAAAAATTCCAACTAGCTGGAATGACATAGATTATTTTATTAGTTCTGTACAATGTGAATAATCAACATTAAAACTTGTCTCATCTCATCTTAGGTTTTTGTTCTTAAAGAAGGAATTTACGAAATCAATTCTTTATTGTTCCATCTTATTCATTTTTTATCATTGTTTCAATTTGATATTAAAGGACAGATTATGCTGTAGAGATTTTATATTATTCTTCCTCCGATTTACTGCAACTACTCGAATCAATGCGTAGAGTAATTAATGCGCACTTTGGCTTCGTGGACTGTAGAAATAATGTTTAAATTTCGTTTGTGTCAGAAGGGCTGGGTCAGGTATTAGCGAGCATCGTTCGATTCTCCCCTTTCTCTTTCACCATTCCGTTCTCGCGATAGATAATACAGTTAAAGCGAGCTCCTGTGTCCGCCTCCGCAAGCGTTCAAGTGCTCTCTCTGCGATCGCGTTAAGGTCCTCATATTCGCTTCCATTCCGATCGTTCTATCCCTCACGGATCTGATAATAATTAAATTTGTATCGGTAACGTGCAACGACAATCCTATCGACAGCACTAACATCAGGCAATCAAGTAATCCGAAGTTCCGCCGGGAAGATATTTGCTTTTAACTAACCAATGATTACTCTCTTGCTATCGATCTGATAAACTATTTTATTTGAATTTGCCTACAATTGTTGAACATTGTAACACGACAAGCGAGATTTTATACGTGCTATGTACGTGGAAGTTAAAAATTGACAAAAAGAAATAATTTTGCTTGAAGAATGTATTGAAAAGATATATATGATTTGATTAATAAACAGACGGTCAACTTTTGTTCTCCATATTATTACTTATAAAAGAACTATTAAGGTGATTCAAATTTTATTTGCATCTCCTTTTTACAGTATTTTTGTGTAAATATTTGATTATTTTTAAAAAAATTTCATGCTACCAAACGAATTCATACACATAAGAAACGATAATAGAACTTATGATTTAGATAATATATGAAGGATTGAGAGAGTACAGCTGTAAAAAAGAATCCATTCAAATATGAATGAATACTATGATATATTCGCATGACGAATTAATGATTACCGTAAATTTGTTCAACTAACGTAAAGAAGCCTTAGTTTTTTATTTAGTATACCTACGTATGATTGTAGTTGGCACTGCAATGAATCAAAAAATAGAAAATTAAAACAATTTAACTGATCACAAAAGGAATTATTTCAACTTGATTGTGTTACTGGTCATAGCAATAAGTATACTGAAAATACGTAAGAAGTGTGAAGTGGATCTGTAGAGTGTATTTTTTGAAGAACCCACAGCAGTCGGTTTGAATGTGCGAACATTTCTATGCTAAAAGAATCGATTTTATCCAAGGTGATAGTTTTATGGCAAATTTTCTTGAGCAAGCACTCTGAAACTGGTCCAATTCGTGAAATTATGCAAACGGTACATTCCGTCTGAATGGATAATGAGAGGCATGGTTTCGACTTCGGTACACGATATCCTAAAAATTTCAATAACACGAGGACGCTGCATTTTATGGCTGGGAGATTGCATTATTATTCTCCAGAACGGGTGGCCCGTTGTTCTCCCGTTGTTTGGATCACGCGCATGCATCCGATTCAACTCCGATGCAGCTGCTTCTTCAATGAGGCTCCTGATTCAAGATAGCTATCCGGGAGCTAGCTGTTCTTGCCTGTTACACAGAAATTAATTTTCGCTTGACAAAAACGTTCTACGGTTCGCCAACCACGATTTTGCAATCAGTAATACGTAATTGATTACAATCAAGGTTAATATGAACGTGATCATTGCGGAATCGAAGACGGCGAGAAAAATTGATCGAAATCGAAGTAATGTGTCCAATGGCGAATGAGTTTTGAGTCCTTGTTTCACTCTTATTTAGACAATGAAAAATTACATAATTTCGAAACTACAAAATATTCTCGGAACAGTTTTTATTCTAGCGGTTTGTTCTTTGTGAATACATACAGTATTTCACAACAATTTTTCCATGAAACATGTAACAGAAAAATTGGTAACTCTCTGGATACAAATCACTGTATTGCAATTTTAAATAATGATGCATACAAAATTAATTTGACTTTCTTCGTGTGTAACACATACTCGTGATTGTGAGAAATGCGTGTCGTTGGTAGTGAACGTGTTAGATGTTAACGAACGTTTGCAACAGCCTTGTACTATTCGCTGTTCCTATTTTATTGGAAGTAATAAGAATAATAAAAAAAGTTCCATTTTTCGAACATAAAAATATTCTTTCATGTTGCACTCATTATTTTCTACAGCTTTCTTTCATTCTAACGAATTCATATTAGTTATGAAAAAATAAACGCAAACCAGATAGAATTTGCAATAACTTGCAACAGAAATCCTTGCACATTCTAATTAATAATCGTAACTCGCAGAAATTTATTATGTTCTTCTGTTTCAGTGAAAAACGTTTCCACGGGTAACGACCCAAGGAAACAAATGTTTCGCACCGCTGTCCATTTTCCAGCTTGATACAAAAAAAAATTTATCGCTGAGAGCCTAACAGGTGCGATTTATATGAACGGAATCGGAGTACTTCACAGATAAAAAGGTTCCAGAGGAAAAAATATTTTTACTTGTTCCTTCCGGTTCCACGACGCTTGTTTCTGTTACGGCGAGAGCGAGAATGGGAGAAGCTGTCCGATCTTGGGGACAGATTTTGTGACAGGAGAGAAAGGGAAGAAACGGGAAACAATTTTCAGTGGATTTTCAGACTCACGTCCAGTAGATTCATCAATGAGGCTCGTCTTCGGGGATCCGGTTCCGTCATGGCAGCTAAAACGGACTGGAGCGCCGACGAGGGTGAAACGGAAACCGTTCCCGTCAGTGCTGCGACTCGCGGGGTCGTGTCCAATAATGCCCTTCCCAACGAGTACATCCACATCTGAAAGCAGAGAAATTTCGCGTCAAGCCTTCCAGTATACAAGGTGCTCGAAAAATTCTAAAGATACAGACGGGCACAAAAGTTCTTACGCGTTTTGTGCAAATTACTACGGATATCGGTCTTTACTAAAAACCATCTTTTTAATCATTATAAAGCTATACAAATAATGAGAGAAACTTAGAATTTTTTGGTGACATTTTCTTCTGTATTTCTTCAGTCATATATTATCTTTCCTGCCACATCATTTTATTGTACCATCAAAATAAGTAAAGGAAATTAGGATTTTTAATGACGGAGTTTACGGATTTCTCCTGTTTCAACGAAATAAGAGAGTGCAGAAATTTTCACGCCTTTTCTGTAAACGACTAGATTGTACTATTTCACTAAAAATTAATTTAATCAGTTGTAAAATGTAAATGAAAAAAGCTTGAGGATTTTTAATAACAGATTTTACGAATTAAGCCCTCAGAATCTAAAACTCATTTATTTTGCAACTGTATTTTATTTCTAGCACACATCGTCTCTTGCGTTGATTACAACCGGAATCCATGTCACTACCCATTACATACATACATACAGAGTGAGACATAAAAAACCGAATACTTGAATTTCTCTGTTGGTATCAAGAATAAAAGAGAGCTCAAAAGTGGAATGAAACCGTTTCAAGAGGCCAATATGAAGAGATATCAACAGATTTTTTAATTAACGGTTTTTTGGAGATCATTTCGACGTCATCGATGTTTTTCCCAAACGCACTATGTATTTTTAATCGTATTATGTGATAGTTAATACCGAGATGAGTTCAACGAACTAGGACACTATGAATACCTTTAAATGACCTTTAAACCTTAGCTTTCGGAAGATTTTTCTTATATAAGTACTTACTAGCAACTCGCAACAAATATTGCCAAAATTGTGACTCTGCTATGCAAAGTCGACCTTAAATAAAAATCATTATATTGCTGTGAAATTTTATAGAAATTAATAAATAAAAGATTTTGTGTTTTTCATTATGTATTTTACATGATTACCTTAAAAAACGATCATTTAGTGTCGCCGTATCGGTAACATCGGAGTGCAAAGGGTTAACGAAAATGTCTCCTGCTTGTTTGGCAATCAAAAAGTCTGCTGATATCATCATATTGGTCGATTCGAACGGTTTCGAAGTGTTCGTTTTTTCGTGACCCACCTATCCACTGATCGTATTATATTGATAACAAAGGTAACCAACAAAGGGTTGACGTTTATAATGACTAGACTACGGATTTTGTACATTCATGATAAAAGTTAGTATTTAAAACAGTAAACATTACTTTCGATTGATTAAACTTTGCGATTTTAATTCTGCAATTTTGCAAATGATGCAGGACAAGATACAAAAAATGAATGAGAAAGTTTTAATTCTGAATACAAAGTAGCAGTCTGGACACTCTGTGCAATCGTTCGAGTATTTTGGGAAGGCCTGTTGATAACTAACTGGGCAGTAGATAAAACCACAGAAAATGTAAATAGTATAACTCGAATAGTGAAATTATGGGAGACCGGAGGCATCCTAGGGTAGAATTCCTCGCTACGATCGTCTGAGGTTGGACTAGCGGGGCTAGTGGTTGACCCGCATGCTAGACAGACGCCACTTAAAGGTATCGATGTGTCAAATACAGTGTCAAATATAGCTTGGTCACCACCTTGCAGAAGTGACAGGATTCTGGAAAGTGACCCCGAATCATCAGGTTTTTGGGCGTGGGTTCTATAATTTCACTCGAGGTACTAATTCAAGTTTGGGTCAGCTCTTGAAGAAGACGTTAACAGGCCACGCATGTCAATTTTGCATATTGGGTGCCATGATCAAAGTTTTACAATTTGAGACTCTGATTATAAAATATTATTTAACTTTTTTAAAAGTGTACTCAAATCCTTCTCAATGATGTATTTCTGCATTAGTCATAATAATTATTTTATAATTTTTTACGTTGTCTATGTTAACTTATTATTATTGTCGTTACTGTAAATAAATAGTTACATTTTTGATTCCGTGTAAGAGTTTTTGAAACAATATACACATTTGCATTAACCTGTGAAAAAACAATTGTAAAGAAAAACATTATTATAGTTTTCAATAGCAAGAGTTTTTCTTCTATTAAGGAAAAATATTTGGATAGCATGTTTATCTGGCATCTCACTACTAAGTTCACTTGACAGTACCCTATCCGAATGAACTGATTACAGGATGACGGTGCAATTTATCCACTTGGTTTCCCCGTGGTAATGGATTCGCCCTTCATATTTCTTACTGTATGAGTAGACTAATCGTCCGAATACTCTGTTGCTAGCTATTCAAACCACGATCACAATGACAGTCTGCATTAGAACTAGCTGACGTAAATGATGAAATATGAACGGATCAGGTGTTAAGGAAAACAGGGTAAAGTAAGCCAGAGTGGAGACATGTGCTCGTGGTGGTAGACTTTCACGGATCACAGACTGAAAACATCCTCTTTTTATTACGTCGAAGATCCTCCCAAGCTTGTGTCATCAAGTTTTCTAGTATCTTCGTACCGCACTTCTATCTTCTTGTGCTCCATTAGCTTTTTCAGTACACTTCCTTGATCGTGAGATTTTACACTGTGTATTTGTAATAAATATCGATATTTTAAGTATAATCATATTGACGGCTATATAAAAGGATAGTTTGCAAGTATAGTGGCTCGCAAAATCATTTATTTATACGGATGAAGTGTTATTGAGTTAATTAATATGTTATTTTGTATTCTTTTCTATTGAATTCGTTGCAAACATAAAACTTGAAGACACTTGAAATAGCCTGACTAATATGAGCAATTATGTCTATGACTATGTTTCAGATGTTTTCATTCGAAAGACAGACTATACCTTAAATTTTGTGCTCTGCATCTTAGACGAATGTGCAATAAAGGCAAAGAATATTATGGTTTCTAATTGGGACTCAATTTTTACTTCGGAATCAGCACTTCTTAACTTTCTTCTTACTAAAACCTGAAGTAATTATAGCTAAATCCATCGTTTGCTTTAATTCTGAAATGAATGCTAGTCGAAATAAAAAAGTTGCATTTAATTAAACTCTAATGTTACATTCCACTGAAAGCAATAAGTCTGTCATTCTGATTCGATGAGTACAGACAAAGTAATAATTACATTTGTTTTTTATTTCCTATATATTCTTCAAAATTAACTTGACTATCATGTAAAAATGTTCTTAGAATTTTTATAATATTTGCCGAAAATTCCTATAGGTTCCGATGCTTTATATTATAAAATAGCAATAAGGAAAATTTGACTATTTAACTTTTCAAAAATTGCTTTAAAATTCCCTCTTCGAAGTGTATCGTGTCGAAAGGTAGACGAGACTGTAGAAACGCTCGAAGTTTATTTATTGCGTGTGCCGTTTGTTCGCCCTTTAATCTAGAGGAGATAAATACGGGCTCGCTGGAACAACGGACTTCTGTCTGACTGAAAACAAGAAGGAAAACAGCGGGAAAGTAAAGCAGAGATAGAAATTATCCTGGATCAATAGAAAACTCGTAAAATCGGATATCGTCTCCTCTCGCAAGTTCGAAATCATTTATTTTCATTTGTATTTCATTACGATTTTTTTCACTCTATGGCCGAAGTTTCTTGTTTCGTAGAAAACTACAAAATTTTCAATTTCATTTACAAAGAGTTTGCAAATATACCTGTCAGGTGGATCTATACAGTGCCGAAGATTGCTTCGCGAGATCGACAATTTTTCATGCGTTTTGCATCAAGTAATTGATTTTTTCACCTGTTACTTTCCTACGATTTTTTGCAAAAATGCGTGCAAAAGTATTTTCAAAATTGTTGTTGAAGATGTTGCTTTGAAGATGAGTGCGTGAGTTGGTTAAATATTGACACGCAGTCGGGATATAGAAAAAGAACTAGTTCAAAGTTCTAGAAGTTGTTGATGCTAATTGAGAAGATTTATTAAATTAATGCAGCATTTAGGGTAAGGAACTATACAAAAAACTTTAATGCGTTTTTCTGCCACAATGTATATTCCTTTAAGCCGAAAATGTACAATCAAGAAATTTAATAATTGTATTTTGTATAAAGTAAAATGCATTCAATTTATAATTGAATTCTTTATCATTCTCTCTAGGATTCAACAATCAATATTCTCTTCTACTATTTCCTATTTTTTCGGATTTAATTTTATTTTACTGCTGTCAATCAGTGTGTCAATTAGATAGATATTGATAATTCTATTAATGTCTTCTGTCGAATCAGATTTTATAGATATTGTTGAACAAATGCAAAATTCAAGTAGTATACAGAATTTCACAAATACCATTCAAGAGTCTTTATGCATTAAGGATTTTACTAATTCGAATAAACTTTCGATTTCTTTTGATATAAGAGGAATTAATCTTTAATAAAGAACTAATAATGTTATTTGCGACCTGTAATAACAATACGGCGCATCTGGTTGTCACGCTGATACTCGTTACATGCATCAGAAATGAAGAACGGGAAGCATATGTTACCTTAGTCCAAAATTGCATGCAATTTCGAGCATTGATGAAAATACACACGTTTACAATAGAAAGTTATCTTTCCTTAACTGATGAGAAAATTGATAAGTAAACCGCGGATCTTTATGTAAAGGAAGGTGATAAATATAGGCCGATTTTCAGGTACATCCTGGGTTAATATTTAACTCAATTCGACTGCGATGCCAAAACCCCAAGCCCACCAATTTTCCACCAATTGGATTCGACAATTGAGAATAAATATTTCACGGATACGAACAATGCAGGATTACAGTCGCTGGCGATCGCGGATACGGGCGAAAAAAGCGGGACCGCTAATTTCCCGATAAACAATTTGTTTGCCAATTTGTCCGTTACCAGGTTGACGGCCGAGCGTTTGGTGGCGCCCAATGCCAAACGATTTTCCTCTAAATTGTCGCATTGTAGAAAACGTCATTACACAGGTCTCGCAATTAATTGTTGGTTCGCGCGGGTTAGACTGCTTGTTGGTTGGTTCTTCGAAACGAGACGCCGTTCGGCAAAAAAGTCTGGGCTCTTGAGACTAGCAAAAAAATGCACTGCAATTTAGACCGATGTTTCACTCCCGAACCCTCGCTTCGCGTTAATAAACATACTGAGTGCTGTTTAATTACGAACATTTCAATTCAACGTTTTGCCAAGTAAGACGTTGTTTCAGTCGTAACTAAAAGCTGTAATGTGACGAAATTATTGAATAATGACAAACCAGTAGTTACAATACATTTAGTGAGGTTAAAACTACTATTTGCAAGTGTAATACGACATACATATGATCAATAAATTTTCGATAGCTTGTCTTTTGTAAATTAATTTTGAATACTGTTACATACAGGGGTGATTCAGACGAGATCAGCTGGCGCGAGGCGGCCGAGCCAATGAGCGGAAGTGGCTTCGTCCGCTCGTTCGTTCGGCCACTGCGCGACGGCTGATCTCGTCGCTTATTGGTCAGTGTTTTTCATTAAGAACTCGGAAACAAAGCCGCGGATTGCATTTTCGCTAAGGAAAAAGTTACTCCAAATAACCTCAAAAATCACCCCTTTCCGGGTGTTAATATAATTATGGGACACACTGTACACTTAAAACTGATTTTAAGTTTTATTCTATTTGATTAAATTTATTGAATTTTCCGTGATGACTATGTTTTTTTTATGAAAATGTTTAAACCAGTTCAATTAAAATAAAACACAGATTTATCCGAATAAAATTATTGAATTCTATGTTGCAAATTTCTTTTAACCATCTTAATCATTTGTTACACATAAAATATAAATATAAATTAGTACAATTTATCGAAAAATACAGTTTCTTTCGCTTTTCTAAAAAATATAATGTAAGATTTACGTCAGGATGTTTACAGAAGAAGCATTTTCTTCCAGAAAGAAAATTGTCAACNCATCAGAAATGAAGAACGGGAAGCATATGTTACCTTAGTCCAAAATTGCATGCAATTTCGAGCATTGATGAAAATACACACGTTTACAATAGAAAGTTATCTTTCCTTAACTGATGAGAAAATTGATAAGTAAACCGCGGATCTTTATGTAAAGGAAGGTGATAAATATAGGCCGATTTTCAGGTACATCCTGGGTTAATATTTAACTCAATTCGACTGCGATGCCAAAACCCCAAGCCCACCAATTTTCCACCAATTGGATTCGACAATTGAGAATAAATATTTCACGGATACGAACAATGCAGGATTACAGTCGCTGGCGATCGCGGATACGGGCGAAAAAAGCGGGACCGCTAATTTCCCGATAAACAATTTGTTTGCCAATTTGTCCGTTACCAGGTTGACGGCCGAGCGTTTGGTGGCGCCCAATGCCAAACGATTTTCCTCTAAATTGTCGCATTGTAGAAAACGTCATTACACAGGTCTCGCAATTAATTGTTGGTTCGCGCGGGTTAGACTGCTTGTTGGTTGGTTCTTCGAAACGAGACGCCGTTCGGCAAAAAAGTCTGGGCTCTTGAGACTAGCAAAAAAATGCACTGCAATTTAGACCGATGTTTCACTCCCGAACCCTCGCTTCGCGTTAATAAACATACTGAGTGCTGTTTAATTACGAACATTTCAATTCAACGTTTTGCCAAGTAAGACGTTGTTTCAGTCGTAACTAAAAGCTGTAATGTGACGAAATTATTGAATAATGACAAACCAGTAGTTACAATACATTTAGTGAGGTTAAAACTACTATTTGCAAGTGTAATACGACATACATATGATCAATAAATTTTCGATAGCTTGTCTTTTGTAAATTAATTTTGAATACTGTTACATACAGGGGTGATTCAGACGAGATCAGCTGGCGCGAGGCGGCCGAGCCAATGAGCGGAAGTGGCTTCGTCCGCTCGTTCGTTCGGCCACTGCGCGACGGCTGATCTCGTCGCTTATTGGTCAGTGTTTTTCATTAAGAACTCGGAAACAAAGCCGCGGATTGCATTTTCGCTAAGGAAAAAGTTACTCCAAATAACCTCAAAAATCACCCCTTTCCGGGTGTTAATATAATTATGGGACACACTGTACACTTAAAACTGATTTTAAGTTTTATTCTATTTGATTAAATTTATTGAATTTTCCGTGATGACTATGTTTTTTTTATGAAAATGTTTAAACCAGTTCAATTAAAATAAAACACAGATTTATCCGAATAAAATTATTGAATTCTATGTTGCAAATTTCTTTTAACCATCTTAATCATTTGTTACACATAAAATATAAATATAAATTAGTACAATTTATCGAAAAATACAGTTTCTTTCGCTTTTCTAAAAAATATAATGTAAGATTTACGTCAGGATGTTTACAGAAGAAGCATTTTCTTCCAGAAAGAAAATTGTCAACTTTCATGGTTGCTGTACTGTCTCATGCATACGGGATCCCGTAATATGTCAATTGTGATTAGGACGCGATACTACGCAAACGTGCATTGAAATCTTAATTTGAAAAATGTCAAGAAAGTCACGTCGACATCGTAAACCCAGTCCACACAACGTATCCATAGCAAAATAAAATTCCGAGTAGTCGAACGATACGAATTGATAATTAATTCCTTCGGAAATATAGCAACAGTATCACGTACCTTTTCCGAGTCGGTGTCTGAATATACACGACCCGGTCGATATTCAGGTGGTAGATACGCTCGAGCAGTTTCGGGAGGTGCAAGTTGCAGCAAAACCCTACCACGCGGTGTCAACTCTAACGTGTGAAGAGTCACCACCGGCCCAGCTCTCGAACCACCGACTACACCACCGTCTGAAACAGATTTAAATAAGTATTGAGAAACTAGGTGTGAGGAAACTTTGTAAATATACAGAACGATTCAAATCAAATGTTGCACCCTGTTCTCCTTAAATGTGTAGCCGCTGTCGGCTTACTTTTTGATCTTTAACTAAATAGTATTAGAGTGTTATACAGTAATTTTCAAATTCAAGGATATTTTCTAAGGTGATCGTAACAGCTGTACATAACGAAATATAATGCAGATGTTATTTTAATATTATAAACATTGAAATATATTTAAACAATATTTGAAAAGAGTAAGTCGCTCATGGCCTTCGAATAAAAGGTCTCGTGCAGGTACGTTCTAAGTACGTTCTCACTTTTCATACCAGAACATTAAAGATCTGTGAAAATCAACTTCGCGTTTCATAAAAATAAGAGCACGCGTTTATTAATACAAAGGGCGATGAAATTCAAATAATGCATACATGTGTACTTTTGTCAGCTTGCTTCTTTTCTTTTTAATTTTACAAACATTTGTCAATTTTTAAATTCGCCAATAATAAATAGTGATTCGCGTGAATCACTATTTAGGCAGTATACAATATACAATAAAAAACAATAAAAAGGATGATAATGCATTACGCGTAGATGTATATGTATTCGATATATCGAACATTCAGGAGTAACAACGTTTCGATTGGTCGAATAGTTAAATGGCGGAAGAATTTCATCAGACTCCGTGGGAAAGTGAATCAGAGCTGACGGAGATGATAAGAAAAATTGAGGAAGCAGCAAGAAACGCTTTGGCTGCGCTTATTCCAGCAATTTGATTTCCCATCGTTGGTGCGATAATCCTGTTTCTTCGATTTGCAGGTTCTATTTCCGTCATCTCGGATCCAATCTAACCGCGTCATGCCTATCTAGCTGCCTCAAATGCCAAAGTTCCGAAGATACATTTAGAATCGCTTTGGATTGGTGATTGGTCTACCTCTGACCATTTCCTTTAACGTTTCCATACGTTTCCTGACGTTTGTTAAGATTTTATTTAGAATCGTCGAATGCTTCTTGTCCAATCAATAACATGAACCACTGTTAATTCGTAGTTTCGAGCCCAATTTATGAGAAATTTCGACAAAAAGTAATCCGACGTTTATGGCTGTCGACATTTTCCTTTCTAACTCAAACAAAAGGACTACGTTGATAAAAATTTAATAAAGTTCTTATTGTACTCGCATTCAATGTCTCTTATGTGAAAAATATATTTCTTATCACACTTCAACTACAAAAAATCTTAAATTAAATATAGCTCTTTAAAAATATTTAAGAAATTGTCCACTTGTGCGTCGGTAATCACTGCAAGATTTTTACACGTCAGACGTTTTCCTTTATCGATCTTAATTTCCACTTCAAGAAATTGTTTCTATTTCGTTAACAAATGTTACACGAATGATCACGTAAAACGATTCTATAAACTCTTCCACGAATTAGTAATATAATACTTTTTAATTTTTTTCAATCATTCGAACATTGCAAAAAAGTTAATTTATTAATTAAAACTAAGCAAAGTCAATAAATTTGACTTCAATAAGGTGGCAATTGAAAAAGTTATGATAAGCCTAATACCACACACTCCTGTGGCCATATACATATGTAGATCTGAAACACTACATATAAAAGGATAAATTGGGTGGACCCCCATACAGCTAAAGTTTGACCGTCAACGATAAGATAACTGGACTGTTTTTCGATAGCAGTTGTTAAGCAGAATAGTCTGAAGTGCAAGCTGTCCTTTAGCATAGCCATAAATCCAATATAATTCGCCATTCAGGCGTTAATTTTGCGCGTGTCATGGACGTTAGCAGGGTAACGATCGCTCAGACATTTTGACACTAAGAATGCTCTTCCCCTACTATGACCTACTAATTTTGGTATTCATCCTTGGGCTGTGGAATACTTTGCGTCCGATGAAATTCCAAGCAAATTGAAGCCGGACTCAGGACGGAATGACACGATGAACTAGCTTCTATTTGCAACTTGAAGTTCCACGAATCTGTGATACAAACTCGTTTGTAGGAAAAAGTTCTCTTTCCTAGGATCGAGAATAAAATCGATTCGACTATGATCGTTTCAAATTGGCGTTCGATTACATCATCGAAAATCCGTAGCACACGTTCTATATGTTGTATTAACCCTTTGCACTACGGTCTCTTTCATTTAAAAGAAGCGAGTAACATTCACATATTGTGACACAATATCGCAGTGCAAAAGATTAAAAAAAAAACTCTATTTTAGAAATACTATTGAAATTCATTATAACTCTCTTTAGTTCTTCAAAATCTTCCTTCAACAAAGATACAACATTTTTGGGCAGATGCCGAGTTTTGAGACAATAATGATAATTAATGTTTGAATATATAAATATACTAATTCGTTAAAATAAATATACTAATTCGTTAATATCATACTTCCTCAAAGTATGATATGTAAATCTATATCATAGTCTACACTAAGAGCGTAGATTAGGGTAGAAAGGTCCAGAGTTGAAAACATATCTTTTATTAATTTTTAATTTTTTATTAATTTTCGAATAAAGAATTGAATCCCATAAAATAATTTAAGGAAAAGTTTCTTGATTAATCCTATATCTATAGAACTGTTTACATTGCAATATTAAGAATTGATCGCTAGATTCTCCAACGAATTTATGTCCAATAGGGTATCAATTACAGAAAAATGAATGGTTAAACACGGTTTGTAACAAATTCTGAGAAGTTCTATTATACCGAAATAATTTAGTACTTTCTGGAATTGTGAATTGAATTTATACATTTTGCGGATATATTAAACCACATGTTTTTTTTTTCTTGACAACCACATTTTCAGAAAAAATCTACGTTATTTCAAATGACATGTTGAACTGGCGTGTATGAAAAAACAAATGGTATATATATTTTAAAAACATTTTGATGAAACGTCGTACAGTAATATGTATATATATTACAGTATATATGTATTTTATAATAACTAATACGTGGATACTAAATATCTAAAATTCAATTTGCGTTTCTACGCGACGCATTAATCAAGCAAACCTAGCGAAGCTGCATTCAAAGTAATCAGCAGCGAGGGTTTTATAAAAAAGCTCCGACAATTTAAACGACGCAATATACATGAAATGAGATCAGTATTCATTAATTTCGTAGCATTGGTAATTATCTCTTGCAATATGTGTTTAGAAATTATATTCCTTATGTATCCCGTTTAATCATCGACGATGCAAAACAAAGAAAAAAATATTTAATGTCCGTTCAGTCCCCATAAGGAAAACGAATTTTTCAGTAATCTGCTAAGAGAAGCTCATAAAACAAGTAGAAATACAGGAAAACTGTGGCTCTGACTTTATTGCATTGCATTAGCATAAAAAGCTACGTGAGCAAAATTCTCCAAGGAGAAATATGTTATTCTTGCGATCGATGAAATGCATTCTCATTTAAAATTCAATTGAAGAGTACTAAAAAGAGTGAAAAGATGTTTTACAAATTCGTTGAGCGAAAAAGTCTCACTATTTTTACGCGAGATCCAATGTACGCAGGAAACTTTTTCCTAGCATAGCACGTGTCACTGTTATCCTGTGCTCCAGACACTCATTTAAAAGCGACGCGATAATTGCCATTTCATTTTTCATTTTTGCATGTTGTTCAGATTTCACTGAATTAATTGGAAACCCGACAGAGACGATTAATGGACAGAACGGAGGATACACACAAATCAGTAGTTTCATAAAAGCTAATGCTTCTCGTCCTTCAATCAGTGGTTTTACAGTTTCGTTAACACTGTTAACCAATAGTAAAGCATAATTCAACAAGTTTTAAATTTCGGAAGAATTTACAGTGAAACTGATAAAACTATATATGTATATGCATAAGTTAAACATTATTATAACAAAAATTGTTATAATACCATAAACTTTTACTTAATATTATTTTAGGTTTAGACTACATACTTACGATTAGTAAGTAACTTGCTGATGATAGCAAAATTCTCACAACAGTCCAAATATTTTACATCAGTATTACAAAAGAATTCAACTTAATTTAGCAAATGATTTCGAAAATAATAGCAGCCGTTCGTGTTTTCTAAAGCTATTCAGTGCCAACGAAATGTCTTTAATCTTCCCCTAATTTTGCAGTACATTACATTCGAATTTAAGGAAAATTCTCAACGATGGAAAGTCATTTATTTGGAATGACCCTGTGGAATGACCCTTTACAGTATCTTTTATTAAATGAAAGTCCCGAGCTGTCTATGAACTCAGATATCAATTACTTAATCCCTGAAAGTAATTTCCATTTCTGTTTCTAAGCGCACTTATTTTCTGGCCATTTCCGTGGATCCACAATGGAACCAAATGTTGCTGTTCGTTTGCCGGCGGGAAAAAGTTTTTCCACAAGCTTTTAATACACGCCGCTGTCGCAGTTACAAAGAGCACCGAAACGCATGACCTTTTCAAATAAAGAATGGCAAATGTGCGATGTCGGCTGCCTTTCAAAGTTCCTGAGGTGTTCCGTTGCTTGTTAAATTCTACCGTAACGGGATTAAAAGTTCACAATCTTTCAACCGACGGAATGCATGTAAAAAAGAAATTATTGTTTGTCTAAAAAAACGATATCCTCAAGTGTGTTTCTGTGAATATGTGGCGAAACTCTAGTGAAAAGAAGTTTATAGTACTGCGAAGTGAATTAATAACAATGTACGGCAATCGTTTCACAGATAGCACACTTATAATATTTACATACATATGTAATATATATAGATCGTTACATATGTATATAAATATAATGTCTGTCGAACGCTTTAATATAAAAAAGAAATAATATTTTTAAACAAAAAGAAAAATTGTATAAATCAATTAAATGAAAATGGTTCATCTTTTGAGGCAGTTTTATAAATTATGTGACATATTTTTCTGATTGTTTGGAACATAAACATAATATTTGATAGTGCAAATTGTTTATAAATATCGACATTTT